GAAGCCTGTAACTGGGGAACAAGTAGGCTTGATAGCCATATGAAAATGGCAGTCCAAGTCCATCATTTACTTGCATAGACTACAGATGAGTTAGTTGAGGAAAACTATCCTATGTTTATGCAAGACCATCGGATTTCATGAAAGAGATTTCTGTCTGGGATCATCAGGCATCTCTCCAGACATTTGCCTGAGCCTGACAAACATCATTATTTGAGATGACCTCTTCATGGCTGGTTTCTCTTCCTCTTCCAGACAGAAGAATTCTCCCATTACTGCACTGCATACAGCACTATTTTACCAGCTTTAATAAAAATTTATATTTATTTTTTTTGATTTTACAATCTATATTTATGATTGTCTAATAATAGCTCTGCATGTATGCATCCAAGATACATTTTACAAGTGACACAGAAACAGTATCTGTATTTCTCCAACCACATCTTTCAAGTACCAATAGAACTGTTCTATATGCAGGCTGTGTATGTATTACAAGTTTAAGCCCACATAATTCAGTTAAATTTATGGTCAGGAGACAACAGTGTATCACATTGGTTTGCAGGAAGTGCAGCCCCAGGCAGGCTAATACTAACATATAATCATGGCTTTCTGTTCATGGGTGCTCTCATACAACTGATGGAGAATGTTTTCTGTGGGCAAAATCTAGACATATATTTGTAGACTGTAAACTCATACATAAATTTCAAGTAACATTAATTCAGTCCTCTTGTGTATATGCTTTGTTGTCTAGTGTTTTACTTGACCATAGAAGCATTTTCCAAAAGACCTCCAGCCTTCCACTCTTACCTTGGTCTCTATTGTTTGTTATGTTACTATCACTAAAAGCAGCACTTTGGGAAATTTCCCTCAAAAAAATCACTGTTAAATGAAAGCATTCAGTCACCTATGCTGTGCCAGCAGTACACTACGTTTGTGGTGACAGTGTTCTTTTACAGCAGAGACCTTTTCCTTCCCCCTGACTTTTGGGAAACACTGTGTAGAGCAGAAGAAGTGTTCTGTGCATCCTCCACCAGATCAGAGAAGCACATGGAGATAGATAACATGGCGTGCAAATCTGCTCAGTCACGGTGTCCAAGCAGCTATGCTTCCTCATATGCACACAGGGAAGTTGCCCATGTGTTGTACTTCTTCCACTTTTTCAGTTACTCACACCACCCCTTCAGCTACGAATTTCACTTCTAATGCATCTACAGGGAAGAGTAAATGAAATGTATCCCTCTGCTTTGGGCAATAATGTGACTCCTGTGGCTTTCCTGGTCTAACTGGCTGAACCTGTTGCTGTCCCTTCCTTACCACAGGCTGACAAGCAGAAACATGAAAAATCTCTCACTCACTGCAGAGGAGAAAAAACTCAGGAGAACAGGAAGCTGAGTATGAAAAAGAAAGTAAAAAATGAAAAGCCTAAACTGAGGTCAGGTGAAGACAAACATTCAAGGGAAAAGGAAATAAAAATAGGAGGTAAAAAAAGAAAAAGAAGGCAAAAAGGGAAGTTATTAAAGACTTACAGTTGGTATGCTGAAAATAGAAGGGAGATAAGGCAAAATGGTGTTGTAGAGGAAGTGGAGGAGAGACTAACATGTGAAAGATTAGAAGAAGCAGTCTTGAAGGAAGAGAGATACAAAAGACATCAAGGATCAGAAAAAAAAGGAAGCTACAATGTTGTCTTACAAGCTAAGATATTTCACTAGCCCTTTGGTGTTTGTCATGTAATGATCATTAGGCTATTAAAAGTTCTGAAGCATTTCCAGTGAGCAGTTGGTTCCTTGAACCAACCTGCTGTTGGAAGCCAATATTCTGACATGTGGATAAATAGATAATTTAGAAAAGGAACCCAGGGATGGGCTGACTAATACCAACAAACAGCAACTGTTGAAAATAAATAGTTTTTATTCAGATCAAACTTTAGCCTTTGGATTGAGAGGATATAAAAAGCCTGTTTTGTAAGATACACATTTTCTCTTCCACATTCCTGAGACCTCCAGTGAAGAGAAACAAAAAAACCCCACCAAAACCAAATAGCATTTATTTTATATTTGAAATATGAAGCAGGTGTCTTATTTAAAGGCAACCAACCAGATAAGCTAGTTAATATGGTCCAAAATAATCCTTTCTTGGTCTCCCAGTGGAGGCAACTGAAGGCAAAATATAATGTTGTAATCCCATTTACTTTATCATAAGGTCAACAGCCCTTGTTCAATAGGGGGGTTTTGTTGACATTCAACTGACAAAAGGGAGCCAGTTAAAAAGTAGAATTACTTATAGAAGACCAAGTGACACCCAAATTTAGCTCACAATATGAAGATTACCTACCCTGCATCAGGCGGGTGTTGATTATTCTACAACCTCATACATGATGGATTTTACTGCACCAGAGAGACAAGACTGCAAATGACTGAATTTTTCTAAGCTGTTCCACACAGGTATCAGACAGCTTGAACAAAATTAATATTAATGAAATTAAGACAAAGTATTAGTTCAGGCAAGATCTAGTGCTATATGTTTGGCTCGATGTAATGTAATTAGTACTGATCAAACTATTAATCATGGCAAATTATCAGTCACATTTTGCCCTTGGTGTTTTTAAGTGACTCTTCTGTGAACAGATCATGATTTTTATTGACTTCTTTGGTTCTGATGTTGGCTCATACTGCTCAAAATCAGTATGTGAGAAAAAAATTAAGCTACAGGCTTCTTTTATGCTGTTGATACCAAACTTGTATCCTTAAGTACTTCTATTCAGTTTATTAATAATAGTACAGATGGTCATTTAGTTGTCTTATATGATAACTCCATCCCAGCCAAAACCAGAATATTGGTTTCACCAATTCACTTGCTTTTACCAAAAAAAAAAAAAAAAAAAAAAGGAATGAGGGAAGTAATTACTGTGTGACAGGTTGGGAATGAAGGCACAAAAACTACATCTAAGTCTGAGGAAGAAAGCACCCATACTAGACCCTAACAACATCCTTACGTAAGCATGTGACAATTCCATCCCTCCTTGTTTTTTGCAAGAAGAGTGAAACTTTGGCACTGGTCTGGGTAGAGATCTTCAGTGCATGCCAGACAAATCCCCTGTCTGAATGGACCATAGTGGGCAAACCAACAATCAGTCTAGACACAGTTAGAGAGGTTTACCAAAGTGCATAGTGGTTAAAGTATCACTTTCTAATATACAGTCTAATATAAAATAACAGTCTCATATTCATCTTCAACCTCTCAGTTAGTGACAATGTCTCTTTTTTGTTTCATTTCTTGACAGGAACCTGTGTTACCGTTGCCACCCTCCATAAAAAAAAATAAAAAAACTGAGTTACAGATTTTTCCTAGTTTATATTCTGATGTCATTACTGCTGGGAAAGTAAACACTAATTGGAACAATTATCATGAAGTTAATATAGCATAACAATTTAAATTACAAAATTAAACCAAAATCACTAAACACAATTTTTCTCCAAGAGTGCTAGCTATTTTGCCTTATTTTGCCAAACAGCTATTATCTTCATCCACTCCCATCTACATTGCATACACCATCTCTGTGTGACATGGAAGTAAGTATTCTCCAAGCCATCTGAAGAAGTTTGGATCATTTTACTGAAGCCACTGATTTAAAGCATAGCAAAGAAATTAGCATATGGAATAAATTGCTGTAGTATCAGAAGTAACTGATGATTGTTTGACAGATTAGTTACCATATATTTTAACCACTACTTTCTTTCCACCTGGAGGCATTACTTTACTGTTAGTCGGATCTTTGCTTGGCTTTCCAGCCTGTGTGCACACATGCTGTCCAGACAACCACATAATATTTCCGTTTTGGAGTGGCTGTCATTGTTCTCCAGCACAAAATAGTTCTGTTAAAGTATTTATATGATAAACAAATATTACAGCATGGAGACAATGCCACTTAGCCACACAACTTCATCCTTTTATTGCAAGCACAAACACCTGGGGTTGTGTGTTTCATTTGGAGAGTATGTTAGTAAAGATATTTTTTTCCTGGCACCTACAATCTGCATACATGGTACTGCATAGTCCTAAGGACTGGAAACTTATTTTATTTTGGGTTCTAACAATGTGTCTGTTTCAGAGAAGCTGTGGATACCCCATCCCTGGAAGTGTTCAAGACCAGCTGGGATGGGGCTTTGAGCAACCTGGTCTACTGGAATGTGTGCCTGCCCATGGTGGTGGGGTTGGAATGAGGTGATCTTTAAGGTTCCTTCCAACCCAGGCCATTCTGTGATTCTATTATTATCTGGTATAATTTTTAAAACAACCAGAAAGTGATAAAAAGTATTTTACTAGATCAGTTTAGGAACTGGAGGGGAACAATTTTAGCCGTAGGTGTTTAATGGGTTTAATAGGAGTCCTGTAGATGAGCAGGTGATTTCTACCTGGTTGCCTGAGTGCACAACACTACGTCACTGCTGCCTGTTTGCACAGGGTGAGTTCAGCACCACCCTTCCCATGCCCAGTCCCAGGCCTTACTGCAGCTCAGGGAGGTGGCTGGGGTGCAACACCCTGCACCCACAGGGCCCCTAGCCGGCTTCTGGTAACGAAGAGGGTGCCAGCATGCGTCACTAGAACTCTCCATTTGCCACGCATCCTGATAAAGCCCTCTCTGTCCTAACACGTTTGCCGAACGCTGGGGAGAAAACCCGAGTGTTTTCAGAGACTTCATCGGGAGAAAACTTCGCTGCCACCACCACTAGAAAGGGGCAGAGGATGGCACCGGTGGGGAGCTGAAACTTCCCTGGTCCGAGCCCTCTTTCGAGGCTCAGTCCCGGCCGCGACGCCGCTCCGCTCTCCCCGAGTTCTTCCAGCCCATCCCGCCCGCTCTGGCGGACGTGGAGCCGAGGCAACTTCTGGGATACACGCAAACCTGCTCCTGCCGTGCTGTGCCCCGATTCCCACCCGGTATCCCGGAGCGGCGGGGCGGGCCAGGTCCGCCCCCTGCCCCTCCCCACCGCCCTCCCCCGGGCTGGTATAAGCCCGCGGAGTTTCCGCGTCCTGTGACTGCAGTCAGGTGGTGGCTGGGGTTCCTTTCTCCCTTCCTCCCTGTGTCCTGCTCTGTCTTCCCCCGCCCGGGGAGGGCCGGCCCTGCAGGGAGCCGGCTGGAGAAAGTTGGAGGAAAGTTGCTAGCTGGGAAAGTTTAGAAGCGGGAGAGTCGCGGCCCCGGCAGCCCGGCCTCTCCGCCGCACTCCACGGGAGGGAGGGCCGAGGATGGCCGGCGGGGAAGGAGCGGGCTCCGGCGTGCCGGAGTGTCGGGAGCACCTCTTCAAGGTGCTGGTGATCGGGGAGCTGGGTGTGGGGAAAACCAGCATTATCAAGCGGTACGTGCACCAGCTCTTCTCCCAGCACTACCGGGCCACTATCGGCGTGGATTTCGCGCTCAAAGTCATCAATTGGGACAGCAAGACCCTGGTGCGGTTGCAGCTCTGGGATATAGCAGGTACGGGACGAGGCGGGCTTCTCCCTGCAGGGTGAGCCCCGAGGGTGCTGTGAACCTGGCTACTGGGGGCCCGAGTCACGGCCTCTGGGACGGAAGTGTATTTTGACAGTGAAATCTGCTTTCTTGTTTTTCTCCTTTCCCCTGTTACATGCAACCTCTGTTGCCTGCCTTGAGGCATAAGTAGAGGGAGGTCTTGACGTGGGAGTGAAGTTTTTGGCTTTTTAGCGGCTCTGTGTGCTGATGTTAACGGACGTTGTGGGGCTCTTGGCTTGGCCCGGGGTTTTGTAGCAGTCCTCAAGCAGCTGCTTTGCTCTGACTGCCGGATCCACAGCTCCCGGAGGGTTCCTGCTCGTATTGCTCTTCCTGACCTGCTTGTCTGGGCGCTAGTGGCCTTGGTTATGGCTACTGCTGAAATCAATTCATGGTTAAGGCTCTGTAATGCATCTAGAAGAAATAAATATCTTCTCCAAATAGGTTATGTTTAGTAAGCATGCTTTACAGGTTAAAGGTAACTCAAATAGCTAAATTATCCTCAAAAGAAGTATGCTAAACTTTGTGTTTGGAGCCACCTCCTTGATTTAAAAGTAACTTACGTCCCTGAAACGTGGAGTGAGGGAATGGAACTTCTGTTATGCTTAGCTCTACATTCAAATAACGAGTTTGTGTATTAGAAAGGTACTTCGAGCATGTGGAAGCAGAAAAGCCCTGCTCAGTTTTGCAAACCGTGCATCATTCCTTTCCTCTATGTAGTTCAAAACTGTTCTTTAACACCTCCATTTCAAAGATTCCAACTGTATACCTACCATGGTTAACTTTTCTTATGCTCCAGTGTTAAATGCCATAGAACAATCTCTGTTTTGCTGTGGCCATGTAAGAAGTCTGTCCTGTCAGCTCCTTAATCACCTTGGTTGCTACTGTATTTCTGGTTTTGTGTGCAGCCCAGATGTGAACCTGCAGCTCTCTTCATCCGTATCTGCCATGTTCAGAATATATCCAATTTTGGATATGAAAATGTATTTCAAATCCTGGTGTTTAAACTTATGCTACTGGAAGACACAAGTTAAAAAACCTGGTAGTTGCTGTTTCCATTAACTCTGTGCTTTATCACTGGAAGCCCAGAAATGAGGAAGTGTAATGTGTGGCTGCTGTAGCCCTGTGGCAGACCAGCTGTACATCAGCTTCTCTTCTTTCTGCTCTAAAACACTACAAATGTGATTCCTCAGACTAAAAAGCCTGCTTCTTACTGCCATATGCTGAAACACCCCATGTATCTTTCTGCTGCTGGCCTGTAGGGCCAATGAAAATGTTTTGTAATTGTTGTTTTGAAAAGCATGTAAAATGTTGGCAAGCTTTCTCTTCTGATGTGTTCCTTTTGTGGATCAGCTTTAACTTTCTGTAAATCAATTAACAGTATCAGTACAAGCTGCTGCAATCCCCTGGGACTTAATCATTTTTGATTGACATGTGCTTAGCCAGCGTGAGAGTGACAATTCAGACTCCTATAGCACTTGACATCTCAGAGTTAATAATTAAAATAAAGAGTGTCTTAATATCCATATGAGTTATTTGATGGTCTTAAAACTGCTGAAGTCCTCAGCCTGGGATTGTGTTCTGAAGTTGTTTATCTACACAGTCAGGAATATTTCCAAATACCTGAAGATGTCAGCAGATTTATATTGAAGTTATTAGTTAAAAACCCAAGTTGAAGATGGCTTCTATATAGTCGTAGAACATATTCTCTAAAGCACTTTATTAAAGTGTGTAGCACAGTGCCTGAGCATGTGATAGTCATTCCCTTTTAACTCGTCAGCCCAGCTGTCTTCTGGCTTTCAACAGCTCACGTAGATAATTTTGTCTTTTGGTGTGTACAGACAAACAGCTTTAGATCTCTTGAAGAGATCTGAATCTTATGGTAAGTAATGTTACATGTGACTTCCCTGCAAGCAATATGGTGCTGAATTGATTTTGATGCATTTAGAAAGGCTTCTGAATTAAAATCTAACCCTTATGCACAGAAAGAGAGATTACATGAGCCAGCAGTGGCTGGCTCTTAGGTGACTAAAAAGGCCAATGGCATCCTGGCCTGGATCAGGAACACTGTGGCCAGCAGGACCAGGGAAGTGATTCTTCCCCTGTGCTCAGTGCTGGTGAGGCCACACCTGGAGTACTGTGTCCGATTCTGGGCCCCTCAGTTCAGGAAGGATATTGAGGTGCTGGAGCAGGTCCAGAGAAGAGCAACAAGGCTGGTGAAGGGACTTGAGCACAAGTCCTATGAGGAGAGGCTGAGGGAGCTGGGATTGCTTAGCCTGGAGAAGGCTCAGGGGAGACCTCCTCACTCTCTATGACTACCTGAAAGGAAGTTGTAGCCAGATGGGTGTCAATCTTTTCTCCCAGGCAACCAGCATTAGGACAAGAGGGCACGGTCTTAAGCTGTGCCAGAGGAGGTTTATGTTGGGTATTAGGAAGAAATTTTTTACAGAGAGGGGAATCAGGCATTGGAATGGGCTGCCCAGGGAGGTGGTGGATTCACCATCCCTGGAGGTTTTCAAGATGAGACTGAATGTGGCACTTAGTGCCATGGTCTAGTAACCACGATGGTGTTGGATCAAGGGTTGGGCTTGATGATCTCGGAGGTCTTTTCCAACACGGTCAATTCTATGATTGATGATGATGCTTATTTTTCACTAGATCAGTGTACATAACAGTTCATCATAAAAAGGTCTCCTTAAAGACCTGGGTGCAGCAATCTAAGGTTTTGTACTTAAGTCAATGCCAAGAACTGACTATCTAGTTCATTCATCAGCTTAAGACCATAATGCAGATACTGTGCTATGTTGTGCTGTGTATTGCAATGCAGCAGGTTCCTGGGTGACTTCAAATTCTTGTGCTAGCTGAGGATTTGTTTTAGTTTTTTGGTGGTTTTTTTTTTTTAGTGATAAGATAATTCTATCAAATGGAGCATGACAATGGTACACTGCCTATGTTTTTTTTTTCTGAAAATAGCCGCCTTGTTGTAAGGTACAAAAGAATGCAAATTTTTGCAGCAGCATCAAAAGGGAGGGAATGTGAAGTGATGAAGGGAGAGGAAGCGTACTGTTTGTTGTACATAGACTTATGTATTTCAGAGTTACGCATTTTAGTTTTTAGACACCAATTTTAACTTCTTGAATAATGGACATGAAAAAGCTTGGGAGTAAGACTGATCAGTCACTGTCAAATTATCTTGGTACTTCATACTACTTGGCATGAAGTATTCTGAAAAAAGCTGGATAGATTACATGCATGTTCATACAGGAGCAAAGCTTCTAAACCTTAACTGCCCTTAGGCATAATTCCTGGGTGTTTTGTTTGGTTGTTATATTTTTATTTTTTTTTTAAATCTTGATGTGTGAAGTAGTGACAATTTCTCTTTCTGGATAAATTCTGAAAGTGTTAGAAACAGGTTAACCGCCTTGATCAAAGGGCATAAATGACTGGCAAAATAAATAGGACATAGGAATGAGTCATTGTGGTAAAGAGATGCAAAACAAAGAAATCCTAATGATACGGAAGCTCTTTTATAGTCTGTTTCAATACACTAGAGATTGCTACTTGACAAACATGCTGTGTTAATGAGTATACTGCACTGACCACAATGTGGTCAGGAGGTGTATCTAGCCTATTGATGAAACTTAGATGATACTGAGAGAACACTTTAAGGATTTTCTATATCATAGAAACTTTTGATCTGATCTAATGAAACCAGCAACTGAGTAGCATTAGCTGCTGCTTTATGATCACATTGACTATCACTGTCACTCGCATCAGCCTGTACGAACATGCAAATTGCTGGACGGCAGGAGTGGTAAAGATCATAGATGACCACTTGAGCTTGGCTTCTCATGAAGGATGCCACTAACGGCAACTGGTAGACAAATTTGATTTTAAAGCTTTGGCTGAGCAATTCTGAATTAACTTCAGTGTAATAGCATCCTTCTTCCAGGACTGTATTAGAATTTCCTTGCAAAAATATTTATTTAAAATAAAGTAATGCTTTAAGTGGAAGAGTGTGGCTATGAAATAGGCCAAACAGAAGAGGAGTTACTGTAGTTTGGTGGTCTAAATTTGCTCTACATGCTTTCAGGAATTGAGTGATAAGACTTGTAGCATGCAAATTTGTTGCTAAAACCTTGTTTGTCTCCTTGAGAAGATCTGAACTCTAACTAAAGGTATATACCAGTCCCCAAGAGGATGGAGAAATCAGACAAAGTATTTTGGCTGAATACTAAGTTGAAGAAGAGCTGAAAGAGCCCATCTTTTCTAACACTCACAAATGAGTGTTAGATATGTGAGTTGATGTTAAACTTCTAACTTATTTAGAAAGTTTACTTGCTCTTATCTATAGGAAGCCATGAGAAATGGGAAAGAGTTCAGGAAACCATGGATGTGGTTGACTTTCAAAGGCATTCAGGCTGTCCCAGTATGTGAGATAGTGTACCTCCATGTGAAAACCCTTAGTTTCAAGCAGCTCTATATTCCAGTTATTCTCTGTCTGCTTTTGTGCCACTGGCATGTCATAAGGCTGCCAAGTTGCTTCTATGTACCAGGTCATTAACTTGTTTCTTGAATTATGGACTGATTTAACTTATTTTTTAAGCAAGGTCTAAAATAAGCCTTAAGTGACATTAATGCGTCCCTGAAAGTCTATAGGGAGCAACCAGAAAACTTCTGCCATTTCATATCCATACACAGCTCTGTGCCATAGAGACATATACTCTTCAATTGCTTTGCAGAGGAGTCTCTCTCAAGTATGAATAGCTTGGAGGCAGCAGTCTCTGAAGGTAGTCAAGGTATTCTTGTAACAACTTGTCCTTACCCGCAACACATTTTGAAGGGATTAAAATGGCAACTCCTGCAAAGAAACCATGAAAAAAATTGCTTAGCTGTGTGCCTAGCACAAGTGAGCATAGGGTGGAGGCAGGACAATCCACACATAATCTGGCCCCAACTGTGGGGGAGCT